TATTTTGTGATATTATTATACTACTACGAAATTTATATATTTAGGAGTTAATTTTATTAGAAAGTAAAGTGTAATATACTAATTTACGTACAATTTGGATATTTTGTCCGTGGATATTTTAACCGTTGGATATTTTGGTTTGGATATTTTGACCAATTACCGTCATCACAACTGAAGATTATAATAAATACCACCAATGTAACATAAATACACTGATCTCCTGTAATTCAGCAATATAGCAACTAAAATAAACTCTAGTACTACGCCGATATCTTTCTTATCCCATTATCTAATGCACTCAGCAAAATCCATGTACGTTAGCTATATAAAGAGAAAAAACGTGCGAACGTATGATGTTCATACATAACATAAATGTGTGTATAAATTGTATTGCGTCTTATTGCCAAAGACAAATGGGAAATAGGTGCTCTGTCTTAAAACAGTAAATATAATTTCACAATATTTTCACGGAAAAAAAATATTTTATTTTATTTGTCTAACATTAGCGTGTGTAAGGTATTTACTATTTAATAATATGTATAATATATCAATTTCAAAATAACAGTTATTTTATAAACATCATCATTACTGAAACAAATTAAACATATTAAAGGAGGTAATTGATCTTATCTTAATTTATTTTCGGTTGCAAAAAGTGAATCAATATAATGATTTGACGTAATGGTTCTATTGTCTAATTATTATGGTAAGCCATTTAATATGTAATATAACAAGATCGTCTTGAAATGTTCATTAAATCCGTTTATCATTAAAAATCGTTCAACAATTAAACTATTTTTTATGACGAAATTAAAAATATAATAAGAAAGAAATATTCTTATAAACTTTTATTAACATTACGTTTATTATTATTATTATCAACATAATACAACAAATTATCTATATTCTATACTTACCTAATATTATARAAAGGTAAAATTTGTTTATATGTAGGATTCATGTCTGTAACTAATGAACCGATTTTAAAAATTCTTTCACTATTAGAAAGAATAAACATATCTTTAAGATATTATTTAAGTGTGTACACTATCCCTAACTCATTAAAGTAATTTTAATAGGCAACGAGATTTTTTAAGAATGCCCTTCCAATTCTAAATTTTATTTCTGTATATATTCAAATTCTGCTTTTTCGAATTTTTAAATACCCTGGTAGACCATAATATATTTTTGTATATTTGAGACTTTTTGATCCTATGATAATACAAATTTTTGTTTTTAAAATAGGAACCCCTTTTCCACTTTCATTATCCAGTAGATATTAATGTCTATAAAAACGAATTCGTTTTTGAGAACTTTGATGTATCTAAATCAAGTTAGAACGAGTGCTATTTATTTTTTTAAATAACTTTGTGTAGGTACTAAGAATAATATGTCAACGATAATGGATCAAGTAGATATGAGGACTTAGATGATTTGAAAATGTTAGGAATTCCTATTGATCTATCAATATTAAAATGATCGCAGTATAAAAAATACATTCATCTAATATAATATGTAATATTTTTATTTTTGTAAAACCATTTTTAAGGATATTTTTTTTATTATTATTGATAACAGACCTGGGCTTGCAAATAATTCAATCAATTACATCAACTACAGTGTATCTACTTATTCTAAATATTGATTTGAAGATTGATATGATTATGAATATGGTTGTTGAAAATTTCAGCTAGTGATTCGGGTAGATTGTGATTTGTTCTGATGTGTTGTATATTTGGCATTCAATGAGACTATGGTTGATGGCGACTTAGACACTACAACACGTTGAGCRTTTTTTTTTAGCCATAAAAAAAATTTAAGAAATTTGAGCACGTCCTAGCTAAGAGGACTTCAATTTTTTGGGGTATTTCGATAGGGATTTCCCAATAATTGTCGATTTTATGTTTAATGTGATTCAGTTTAATGGAGTAGGATGTCAATTTCTGTTGRCAAATTTTAAAGATTCCCCTCCCCAGTATAAATATTTGAATAACTTAGAAACTACTTATTAGAATTATGTTTAGTAATTGACAATAATTACAGACGAAATTATCGTTATATATGATCGATTTTATCGAATTTTTATTCAACAAGAATAAATATATTGTATATTAATATTTGTACCTTATTAAATTTAAACAAGGATTATCGTCTATCTCTTTTTATCTCAGTATCAATTTAATCTGAAATTTAATTTGGTAAACATTCATTTTTAATATATTGACATGTGAAAACCGAAACCATTGCATTTGATATTGGTACAGACTTTTCAGACTAACAAAATTGGTTACAAATTAATACGCATTCAAATATATTTGTTAAAGTTATAAGTACGAATACTAATGTGATAATTTCTATATTATATATATTAATATTAAGCAACTTCATTCCAATGTAACTCCATAAATCTGTAGTAGCCAATGGCCTAGATGCCGAGGCTTTTATTAATAATAATAAAAAAAAAATTTCTATATTAAAAATTAAACAATGATACATAAATCATAAAAATTTTAACTAYTAAACAAAAGTAAATTCTAAGGGATTTTTTTTTTGTGGTTGTGTAAATACTTAATAATATTATTTATTATGTAATGAACATAACCATACACCATCACGACTTACGAGTCACGACATACGTACATATACGTACTGTACGTAATGTGTCTTTGAGTATAGATAATTATTATCAGTGTGAACATTACTCTATGATTTGCACGTCAGAACATATTTCACAAGTTTATCGGACATATTTTTTAATACATATAGAAACTTATACAATGTATATATTATGTTAAGTACACATATATTTAATATTTTTTTTTCTTTTGCAGATCTAGTAGAAATGTATGAACTTATTAAATTAAAGAGGACGCATGAATTAGCTGCGTATCCTGACACTTGAATTTACGAGCTTTCAGATAACATACTACGTGGGTTTCATAAATTATATTTAACCTGTGACAACGATCTGGAATATATATATATATATATACATATACATTTTTTTTGTGTATCTAAACGATTTAATAATATCGAAATTATTTCATATCTCTATTTGTAAATATAAACAAAAATATATACGTTAACTATTCAAGGATGATAAAACAATAGAGTAATACAATCATRTGATCTGTATTGATAAAACCAGTATAGATAGTATTACTATAGTAATAAATAAATTGATTATTTATTTCACCGTTTGAACTCCTATTCTCCTACAATTTAGTCCAGTTTATAATTAATTTTGTTCATTTTGTATAAAATAAATAATACTATGTACTAATTATATGACAAAAAGTATTGAAAGGGGCGGCATTTTATTAACTGCACAGGGCGGCAAAATACTTAGCGCCGGCCCTGGATAGTATTACTAAAAAAGTTCCGAGTGAACCAATGTTGTCACGTTGTTGTATGTAACGTGTTGGTTTCAAAAATTGTTATTGAAAAATATTACGGAAAATTCACAGAACTTTTTAGTTTGACTTCAAAAGTTAATTTTCATAAACATTAAAAGTGATAAACAGTCGGGCTCAGACAACCAAAACGATAACATGTGCGTTCCGTAATGCTTGTCGTATTAAACCAGCTATTCCTAATTGAGTCATTAAAAACGCTCAAATGAAGAATATACTGTATCACCAATTTGTCATTGTAAACAGGAACAAAATTCAAAAAAAGAAAACGATAGAAAATCCATCAAAGAGAGCTCTATCGTCGACTTCCACTTACTCATCAAACCATGAGGATAAAAAAAGTAAATTTTACGTCTCGCCAAATCGTTTCCAAGCTTTGGCAACGGATAAACAAGACAATGTCCCTGTCACAAATGAAGCTCAACTCGTCACACAATTTGGCCAAATCTCACCTAAACAAAATAATGTTAAACTTCCGAATATCGTCCTAACAAATGTAACCGATTTTAGTACATTAAACAAAGACCTAACTCGTATGGTGGGCCCAGAGTCGTTCACATGTAAAGCGATCAGATCTAATATTATCATACGACCAAACACACGGGTCAACTKCATGGCTATTAAGTCATATCTAATAGACACCGATCACRATTACCACTCTTATCTCCCCAGATCCCTCCTAACCATTCCGTGTCATACTACGCCACCTCCACCATACGACTATACCACAGATATTGAAAACTGTCTAAGTGACCTTGGGCATTAAGTAATCAGCATTGCAAATATAATACACYGTACGAACAAATTGCCACTTCCACTACTTAACATATCAGCGTAGTTCGCAATACCAATAATCGTGAAATATTCAGAATCGCCAAAATATTAAACTCAATTGTAAAATTCGAATATACACAGAAGCAACTTGGCCCTCCCTGATGCCATCACTGGCAAAAGTATARACACACACACAACTACTGTTTCCACAAACTGCGATGCGTGATATGTGTAGCTGAACACTACACCGAAAATTGCACAAAAAARCTGGAGGAACCAGCAAAATGTGCAAACTATGGAAGAAACCACACTGCCAATTATAAAGGATATCAAACCTTTAAAAAAATATTAAGTCACATCAAATCCAAAACCAAAACGACAGAAACAGTTCATCAAGACAT